GTTTGGAAGAAGAGAAATGCTGACTATGACCCAAAGAACACCATCCCCACTGTCAAGCATGGAGGTGGCAACATTATGTCTTGGAGGGATTTCTCTGCTAAGGGCACAGGACTATTTCACCACATCAATGGGAGAATGAATGGAGCCATGTAGTGACAACCTCCTTCCTCCGCCAGGACATTAAGAATGGGTCGTGTCTGTGTGCATGACAGTGACCCAAAACATACAGCCAAGGCAACAAAGGGTTGGCACAAAAAGAAGCACATGGAGTGGCCTAGCTAGTCTCCAGACATTAATCCAATCGAAAACCTACAGAGGGAGCTGAAGCTCCGAGTTACAAAGCGACAGCCTCAAAATCGTAATGATTTCAATATGATCTGCAAAGAGTAGTGGACCAGAATTCCTCCTGACGTGCAAACCTCATCATCAAATACAAAAAATGTCTGACTGCTGTGCTGGCCAACAAGGGTTTTGCCACCAAGTATCAAGTCTTGATTGCCAGAGGGATCAAATACTTATTTCTCTCCGCAAAATGCAAATAAATTAAAATAATTTATACAATGTGACTTTCTGGATTTTATTTTTGATATTCTATCTCTCACTGTTAAAATTAACCTACCCTTAAAATTATGAACAGCTCATGTGTTGTCAGAGGACAAACTTACAAAATCAGCAAGGGATCAAATAATTATTTCCTTCACTGTATTGTTAAAGGAGACAAATGTTTGTGTTAGTGCTGCAGGGGTGCTGTCAGCTCCTGATCACTGACCTTTATGCAAGTCTGAAACCCGGTGGGGGGGGGGGGGGGGTTCTAATTTCAAACATGTATTTTTGTGTGTTTGTTGGAAAAAGAAGGTCCAGGCAGGATGGAGAAAAGTTTCAGGAGTGATTTGTGATAAAAGGGTGTCAGCAAAGGTCAAAGGAAACGTTTACAAGACAGTGGTGAGACCAGCTATGTTGTATGGTCTGGAGACAGAGACATGGACAAAAAGACAGGAGACAGAACTGGAAGTGGCAGAAATGAAGATGTTGAGGTTCTCCTTAGGAGAGACAAGGATGGAGAAGATTAGAAATGAAATCATCAGAGGTGCAGCACAGGTTGAACAACTGGGAGATTAAGTTAGAGAGGACACACTGAGATGGTTTGGACATGTCCAGAGGAGGGACAGTGGGTATATTGGTAGAAGGATGTTAGAAATACAGCTGCCAGGAAAAAAGACAAAGTGGAGATATATGGATGAAGTTAGAGAGGACATGGAGGTAGTTGGAGTGAGGACAGAGTGAGATGGAGGAGGATGACTCGCTGTGGAGACTTCTGAGGGCTCCCTGTGGACAGGGAGGACAGAGGGGACAGAGGAAACAGGGAGGACAGAGGGGACATGGAGGACAGAGGAGACATGGAGGATAGAAGAGATGTGGAGGACAGAAGTGACAAGGGGGGCAGAGGAGACAGGGAGGACAGAGGGGACAGAGGAGATGGGGAGGACAGAGGGGACATGGAGGACAGAGGAGAGAGAGGAAATGAGGAAGACAGAGGGGACAGAGAGGACAGAGGAGACAAGTAGGATAGAAGAGATGTGGAGGACAGAAGTGACAAGGGGGCAGAGGGGACAGGGAGGACAGAGGGGACATGGAGGACAGAGGAGACATGGAGGATAGAAGAGATGTGGAGGACAGAAGTGACAAGGGGGCAGAGGGGACAGGGAGGACAGAGGGGACATGGAGGACAGAGGAGACAAGTAGGATAGAAGAGATGTGGAGGACAGAAGTGACAATGGGGCAGAGGGGACAGGGAGGACAGAGGAGACATGGAGAATAGAAGAGATTTGGAGGACAGAAGTGACAAGGGGGGCAGAGGAGATGGGGAGGACTGAGGGGACAGGGAGGACAGAGGAGACAAGTAGGATAGAAGAGATGTGGTGGAGGACAGAAGTGACAAGGGGGCAGAGGAGACAGGGAGGACAGAGGGGACATGGAGGACAGAGGAGAGAGGAAATGAGGAAGACAGAGGGGACAGGGAGGACAGAGGAGACAAGTAGGATAGAAGAAATGTGGAGGACAGAAGTGACAAGGGGGCAGAGGGGACAGGGAGGACAGAGGAGACATGGAGGATAGAAGAGATTTGGAGGACAGAAGTGACAAGGGGGGCAGAGGGGACAGGGAGGACAGAGGGGACAGTAGACGGTCAGACTTTAGACGAGGGTAAGTCTCTGAGCAGCAACAACACCAGTCCCTGTGTGAGCTCCTGTGTGGGTCGGGTCGGTTCTGAGGCGTGTAATTATCATCCTGTGTGTTCTGTTTGTTCCACCCTGTTGGACCCGCTCAGCTCTCAGGAAATATTTCTGTTTTTATCAGAACCGGTCAAAAGAACCATCAGGTCTGAGCTGGATTATCAACCACAGAGAAGTTCCGACAGAACCAGCTGAAAATACGACAAAACGCCAGAAAAACTGAGAGAAGCAGGAAGAAGTGATCGTCCTCAGGGCAACAGGAAGTGCAGCAGAGTCCAGACTAAATAACACAAAACAGAAAAGTCCGGTCCTGGTTCCATTAAAAGTCTGGTCCTGGTTCCATTAAAAGTCCGGTCCTGGTTCCATTAAAAGTCCGGTCCTGGTTCCATTAAAAGTCAGGTCCTGGTTCCATTAAAAGTCAGGTCCTGGTTCCATTAAAAGTCCGGTCCTGGTTCCATTAAAAGTCCGGTCCTGGTTCTATGAAAAGTCCGGTCCTGGTTCCATTAAAAGTCCGGTCCTGATTCCATTAAAAGTCAGGTCCTGGTTCCATTAAAAGTCCGGTCCTGGTCCCATTAAATGTCAGGTCCTGGTTCCATTAAAAGTCCAGTCCTGGTTCTATTAAAAGTCCGGTCCTGGTTCCATTAAAAGTCCGGTCCTGATTCCATTAAAAGTCAGGTCCTGGTTCCATTAAAAGTCCGGTCCTGGTTCCATTAAAAGTCCG